GCACCCCCACACACTTATGTGAGAGAGGGAGGAGAGAGAGGAAAACAAATAATAAAATAATATATAATTACAAATCAATTGAAAATTGTGAGGATAAAAAAAAATAAAAAATAAAAAAATTATGGCTCCCAAATATTCCCACCAAATGAGGGAAACAATTCCGCGTGGTATTACTCATTAATGAGACTATTTCTGACTGTTATGGCCGCTCTATCGAGCCAAGGTTCTCTCCTTGCAGTCTCGTATTTGCGTTCGTCCTTGCAGGCCTTCGGGTCTACTTTTAGGCCCAATTTTGATAATCCGAACCGTTCATATTTTATAATTTATTCAGTATATCATACCTGTAAAAAATCAAGTTGATCGGATATCAGAAAGCATGTGTTCGAAAAATTGAACTAAAAACTATTTTTTAAAGAATTTAATAAATAGTTTTCCGAACACATGTTTTTTGATATCCGATCAACATAATTTTTTACAGGTATGATATACTGAATAAATCATAAAATATGAACGGTTCGGATTATCAAAATTGGGCCTAAAACTAGACCCGAAAGCCTGCAAGGACGGACGCAAGGATGGGAGCTGCAAGGAGAGGATCCTCATTCCGCTCTATCAGCCTGTTTTTCTTCCCTTCTCGTGCTCTTCTTCTAGAAACACCAAAATTAAGAATGGGTTACTTTAAAAAAATATGTATAAATTTACACCAAAGCTTGTATAATTATTAAAAAAAATATTACTTTACCTCTTTTATATATCAATTTATATATTTTGACTCTATTAATTATAAAAATTTATTATTTTTACTTTTCATCGATTTTTTTAAATTTGTACGATTTTCATATTTAAAAGAATCAATATGTATAAATTTATAAATGATAAATAAAAAAATATTTGTTAATATTAAAAATCTTAGTGTAATTAACTCAATTAACAATTCCTTAAAATCCCTTTAATTCTCTCTCATTGTCTTCCTTTTTCAACTAATTTTTTGTTTTATAAAATTCTATTCCTCTAGAACCCATCCCAATCAACCAATATTCAAAAAAAAAATTAAAAAAAAAAAAACAAAACAAAACAAAAACAAAAACAAAAACAAAAAATACATTTTCTCTCTCCACAACCCTCTATCTACTAACCCATCCTAAATATCCAGGACCATGTTATATATATGAGCCTATCTATCCATTCCTCTCTTCTCAATCTAATCTAAATACACTTCTTCACATATTTTCTGTTTGAGTCATGAATGCTAAAGAATCTTACAAAGATCCATCAATGGCAGAGCAATACCAAGAAGAAGAAGATCAAACAGAGGAGACACTCTCTCTCTGTGATCTTCCAATGTACAGTGATGCCAAAGAAGAAGATCAGAGCTTGTCATCATCATCATTCTCATCCGATCAAGACGACTTCTTTGAGTTCTTCAGCGAAGATTGGAGCACTTTGAGCTCGTACCCAGTTCAAAACATTGTTTTCTGTGGAAAACTCATTGCTTCTAAAGAACCAAACTCAGAAACAGAGCATACCCACAAGATCGAAACCAATAAACAAGATAAACCCAGAAAATCTAGGCTTTTTCGATGGAATTCGAAGATGTTTAGAAGTTCTAAATCCACAAATCCGAAGATAAAAAGATGTGTTTCGAGCCCGAAGTCTCTGTCATTGCCGGTGGGAGATGAATTTAGGTATAAGGGTGGCGAAAAGTACGGATTTCCGGTTCAGAGAGTGTCGGTAGTGGCGGCACCGGTGAAGCCGCGGCGGAGTTTGTTGATGTTTGGATTGGCTAGGATGCCGCCGGAGATGGAGTTGAGGGATATAAGGAGCAGGCAGGGGCGGCGGAGTCGATCGACGGTGGTTCGGAGGAGTGGTGGTGGTGGTAGTGAGAAGGTGAGGAGAGGGAAGGGGTTGTGGGGGATTTGGTGGCTGATCAGGGCGTTGGGTTGTGGTGGCTACCACCACTACGCCACCACCATGCCAACCCGGCCGTGAAGGCTTGGTTTAGATAAGATTTTATTATATTTTATTGGTAGGATTTACTTGTAAAATCTTATTTGTACATATTTATTTGGTATCAATTTTTGAATTGAAGAGTAATTATTTAATCTTTTTGAAATATTAAAATATTTTGTATTCATTTTTGAATTGAGGAGTAATATTTAGTCTTTTTAAAATATCGAAATATTATATTCTATGCAATAACAAGTGATTATGTATTTACTTGACTCAAAAAAATAAATTGAGAAAATTACAAAACACCATGACATTATAGTCCAAAAAATAATAATTAGGTAAATTACCAATGGGTTCTAATAGTTGGATTTAATTTTCATCAAGTCCTATTAAAAATAAGTTTTTGTAAAATTGTCGCTAAAAATAATTTTTGTGATAATTTTTTATATATGTCGTTAAAAATTGACAATTAGTAGCTTTTTTGTCATAATTTTAAAAAAATGTTGCTAAAACTTACAATTAATGACCTTTTTTATGATAAATTTTTTCCATAAGACCTATTAGATAATAAGTCCACTTATTAGAACCTACACGTAAGTACTCCCAAAACAATTTCTACCAATTTTAGGATTTGGACTTTTATAATATTATACAGATGTATTTTCATTGGTAGAGATCACAAGTAAAAATTGAATGATATTAGTTATATTTTTTTAAACCAAAATCAAAATAAAAATTGAATATATACACACACACACATATATGCATATCAATTTAGTTTTTTAAAAAAAAAAAAAAAATTGGTGAAAAGTCTAATTTACAGAGTTTATAAATCATTAGATTTAAGATAAAATCTTGTTTAGTAATAAAGATATGTCAGAAAAGTTGACGGCAACCTATGGCGGTGACCAGCGGCCGATGACAATTGGTGAGGTAGAGAAATGTGTAATATTCAACAAATAATAAATTTTAACAAATAAACAAATTGGATGATTTCAACAGATAGATAGACTGATAGATTAGTTTTAACAGATAGTTGTTATTTTGGACAAATTGTGTCTTTTTGATCCAAAAAAAATTAGAATTTGGCTTAATGACCCAAAAGATTAAGAAATGAACTTATGGCCGGAATGTCCATTTATTTATTCCTCAACTTTTTTACTAAGGGTAATTCTATTTACACACCATTAATACTCTCAATACACATCATTAATAGATTAAATTTATATTCTAATAATATCTTCCAATGAAATGGCCATTGAGGACAACATAAGATGTATTCTACCCATCATATTTAAAAACATAAAATACTCTTCATACACCATCATCCTATAAGGTTTAGGATTTTAACATATAAATATTGTATTTTTTCATCATCTTCACCATTAACATTCTCATTATCAATTAGCTAACTTCATTCTCTTCTGCATTATATTTATTTTTTAAACTCAAAACATTATTACCTTTGAAGATTTAGTATTAAGAGCATTGAAATCAATTAATTTTGAAGATTTGCGTATTATGGATGACACTGAGATGGTTGGTTCCGATATAAATATTGAAAACGTTGATTTGAACATTGAAAAGGTTAAGTTATGACTTAGTTTTTTGATTTTTGATTTATCTCGTTCGTATGTTGGGAAGATAAGTTTGTTCGTCATGTTGGGATAATCAGAGTTAAACTTTTACACAATATTTGATTATTTATATTTGAACAGAACAATTTTGCTCAAATTATTAAGATTGACCAAATATTAAATGTTCATACATAAAAAATTGAACATTTTCAATTAATTCGGTTAAAATAAATTAAACTTTTATTTATTGTTCAGATATAAATTTTTTAACAAATTAAGTTTTTTCAACTTTGTATTTGTGACATGATTAATTTGATGAATTTGAAACGAGAACGAGAGACCAGAGTTCAAGGCCAACAATGAAGATCAATACTGGCGAAGATGGAGGCCGAATGAAACACTTAGCCAGTGATTTGAAACGACGAGATGAGAAACCGGCGAAGATGAAAGACAAGTGAAACCTCTACCAGTGATAGAGATCAAGAACGATGAAGATGGTCTCTGTTAATCTCTGTTCTGAAGATTGTAAAGTTTTTGTTGTGTAGTGATGAAGATGAAGAGTTTTTAGTATGTATAATAGTGTGTATTCAAATAATTAGTGTTATGTTAATATAAGATTAGTAATGAAAAGTTGAAGTATGAATTAAAATATTTTTAAATCTTAAAAATTATTTTATGTGTATTAAGTAATGATGTATACTGAAAATATTAGTAGTATGTAAATATAATCACCTTTTTTACTAGATAAATTTGACGAATTGAATTTTATGTAGGGTAGGTTTTATCAAGTGTACTCCACAGTCAGGTGCAATAGAGAACCCAACTCATTTTAAACATTAGAAGCATTTATTCGGTGCTGCAACGTGGTGCACACAACTCGATTAAGGCCTTATTTGTCATCTATTATATAATTCATCTTTTTATCTTTTTATCTTTTTTTCATCACATCACCTTTCTACTTTTCTGCACATCTTTTTATAAAAAGACAAAAAGTACACTTTTTTAGTACACTCCAAACCAACCCTAATTGATAGAAGTGAAACTCACAATTTTATATTTGGTAATAATGGCTACAGAGGACATAATATTTGAGATTGGTGTGACATGTGCCACGAGGTACCCAAGGGCATAATTTTTTGATTTCTGGGTTCACCAATTTGACATTATGTACAGAAATAGACCATTAATACTAAAGAGCCTCAAAATGTTAATTAATATATATTGGATTAGACAAGACACACCACAGGCTCTGAATATGATAATTAATAAGTCAAAACATGCACTTAGGGAAGATGATAAGACATTGTGGCCTTTACCAAAATTGAGTTTGGTACCTCAAAATCATCAAATTAGTGACACACATATCAAAAGAAACAGTACAAACAAATTTTTTTAAGAAAAAAAAAATATATATATATATATATATAAAACCTAGAAAGTTTATGCCTCAAATGCAAATCAAAAGAACCAAGGTTACAAATGTAAGACTGATCATTAATCCCCAACATAACTGGTCCAACATGGTCATCAGTTGTAACAATTAATTTCCACCGATCTAGCATTAACATCAGCAGCACACTCAATAATTAATTGCAACTTTAAATGTGTAAATGAAAGCTATTTCAAATACAACTACAAAATTTTCAAATAACATAAACAAAATTTCATTTCCTTGACATGTATAGAGATTAGAAAAAGTGTGTTCGAAAAATTAAATTTTCATGTGCTTTTCTGCCCTTTAGGATCATCTCCTCCACTATTGACATCCCCATTAAGCTTTTTGCTTGGAAGCCGTCCTCTTTTTCTCTTCATATTCTTACGCTCCATGGAACTGTAGTAAAAATCATTAACTGGTACAGTTATTGCAAAATGAATGGAGAGGTAAAAAGGCCGAGAAAAGTCAGATTTGGCCAAATCAAATGTAGTCCTTTCACAAAGGTGTTTGACGCATAAAAAATCTATCGAGAAGTCATATTTGCTTAATGACAACCTGTTAAAATCCACCTACTCTCCACCTACTTCACCCACTTAAACCTACTCCACTAAACCTAACCCACTACACCACTACCACCTCCACTTCACCTACTCCTTACCTACTACACACTCACCCTCTTCTATATATAGGAATCATGAATCATTGTAATAGATATCAATATATCAATCAATAATAATACATACAATTTATTCTCTCTCTTTCTCTATACATTATTTCTTACATGGTATCAGAGCTGGTTTAAAACCTAGTATTTTCGCTTCCCCGGCGGGCGGCAACCTCACCTTAGCCGCCCGCCGGACCTCAACCTATTCCGCTGATAAAATCAACAAAGATTTGTGCAACTGTAGTCATGTGTGAGGCTGATGGAGAAGAATTCTTCACCTCATTTGACGAGACAGTCTGGAACTGGAAACACTGCAACATTCTGCTCTGGAATTCTGCAGCAGCTAGATTATAGCTTGGTTGAGTGCCAAGCTTTGGTTCTTCCACCCACTCTTGAACTTGCCCAGCAGAGTGTGAAGGTTCATGCTTGTGTTGGAGGGACTAGTGTGCGCGAAGATCAGCGCATTCTCTCCAGTGGGGTTCATGTTGTTGTTGGTACTCCTGGCCGTGTGTTTGAAGCTGATGAAATGCTGTCACGAGGTTTTTAAAAATCAGATCTATGATATTTTCCAGTTGCTGCCACCCAAAATCCAGGTTGGGGTGTTCTCAGTTGCTGTCACCCAAAATCCAGGTTGGGGTGTTCTCAGTTGCTGTCACCCAAAATCCAGGTTGGGGTGTTCTCAGTTGCTGTCACCCAAAATCCAGGTTGGGGTGTTCTCAGTTGCTGTCACCCAAAATCCAGGTTGGGGTGTTCTCAGTTGCTGTCACCCAAAATCCAGGTTGGGGTGTTCTCAGTTGCTGTCACCCAAAATCCAGGTTGGGGTGTTCTCAGTTGCTGTCACCCAAAATCCAGGTTGGGGTGTTCTCTGCCACAATGCCACCAGAGGCTCTTGAAATCACCAGGAAATTCATGAATAAGCCTGGAAAGAGAAAAAGCTCATGCTAGGATTTGCGAAGTGATTCGCTGCAGGAATTTTGGCTTTGGATGAAACCCTTACCATACTCCACTCATTCTCTCTCCACTTTATTCTCTCTCCACTTTATCACATGGGTTTGTCTCTCTCTCTCCTCCATTTGATTTCAAAAATCACTTATTTTTATTTATTTTTTCCAAGTCACTTTTCCTCTTTTTAAATACCCCACTTTATTTTGAAACAATCACACTGATGTTTTTCATATAATCCATCTATAAATATTTTTTATCTATTTTCTTTCTCCCTTGTTTTCTTTCATTTTATTTTTATTTTTTACCATCTCACCTACTCCACTAAACCTAACCCACTACACCACTACCATCTCACCTACTCCACTAAACCTAACCCACTACACCACTACCATCTCACCTACTCCACTAAACCTAACCCACTACACCACTACCATCTCACCTACTCCACTAAACCTAACCCACTACACCACTACCATCTCACCTACTCCACTAAACCTAACCCACTACACCACTACCATCTCACCTACTCCACTAAACCTAACCCACTACACCACTACCATCTCACCTACTCCACTAAACCTAACCCACTACACCACTACCATCTCACCTACTCCACTAAACCTAACCCACTACACCACTACCATCTCACCTACTCCACTAAACCTAACCCACTACACCACTACCATCTCACCTACTCCACTAAACCTAACCCACTACACCACTACCATCTCACCTACTCCACTAAACCTAACCCACTACACCACTACCATCTCACCTACTCCACTAAACCTAACCCACTACACCACTACCATCTCACCTACTCCACTAAACCTAACCCACTACACCACTACCATCTCACCTACTCCACTAAACCTAACCCACTACACCACTACCATCTCACCTACTCCACTAAACCTAACCCACTACACCACTACCATCTCACCTACTCCACTAAACCTAACCCACTACACCACTACCATCTCACCTACTCCACTAAACCTAACCCACTACACCACTACCATCTCACCTACTCCACTAAACCTAACCCACTACACCACTACCATCTCACCTACTCCACTAAACCTAACCCACTACACCACTACCATCTCACCTACTCCACTAAACCTAACCCACTACACCACTACCATCTCACCTACTCCACTAAACCTAACCCACTACACCACTACCATCTCACCTACTCCACTAAACCTAACCCACTACACCACTACCATCTCACCTACTCCACTAAACCTAACCCACTACACCACTACCATCTCACCTACTCCACTAAACCTAACCCACTACACCACTACCATCTCACCTACTCCACTAAACCTAACCCACTACACCACTACCATCTCACCTACTCCACTAAACCTAACCCACTACACCACTACCATCTCACCTACTCCACTAAACCTAACCCACTACACCACTACCATCTCACCTACTCCACTAAACCTAACCCACTACACCACTACCATCTCACCTACTCCACTAAACCTAACCCACTACACCACTACCATCTCACCTACTCCACTAAACCTAACCCACTACACCACTACCATCTCACCTACTCCACTAAACCTAACCCACTACACCACTACCATCTCACCTACTCCACTAAACCTAACCCACTACACCACTACCATCTCACCTACTCCACTAAACCTAACCCACTACACCACTACCATCTCACCTACTCCACTAAACCTAACCCACTACACCACTACCATCTCACCTACTCCACTAAACCTAACCCACTACACCACTACCATCTCACCTACTCCACTAAACCTAACCCACTACACCACTACCATCTCACCTACTCCACTAAACCTAACCCACTACACCACTACCATCTCACCTACTCCACTAAACCTAACCCACTACACCACTACCATCTCACCTACTCCACTAAACCTAACCCACTACACCACTACCATCTCACCTACTCCACTAAACCTAACCCACTACACCACTACCACCTCCACTTCACCTACTCCTTACCTACTACACACTCACCCTCTTCTATATATAGGAATCATGAATCATTGTAATAGAAATCAATATATCAATCAATAATAATACATACAATTTATTCTCTCTCTTTCTCTATACATTATTTCTTACACAACCGAACTCCCTTTCAAACCTTAGCATTATGCATCACCACGATTTCCTTGTCCCAATACAGTAATGAAATAGCGCACACAGAAAGTTGGGATTCATAGCAAGTAGAAGGTATACTTCAGTGACGACCAACAATATATGCATATCGAAACTGGAATTTATACGACCAATTTGCAGAAGACAACTTTTTGCATTTTAACAATGCCATTATCCCTCTCCTGGTTGAAAGCAAATTAATTTCATAATTTGAATTCGTCATTTCAAATCATGTCCCTAATACAAGCCATAATCCCTATAATACCACATTTTTGTCTTAAAACAATACATGTTTCACATTTCATTTAACCAAACAAACCCAACCCAAGTGTATTACAAATGTCAAACAATCAAGTCGTCCAATTAGAATTTTTTTTACTCCAGTTGGTTATACTAGCATAGCTTTTGGGTTTAACTCATAGATAATTCAAGAGGTTTTCAGATGTAGATCGTCAAACAAAAAAAAAGAAAAAGAAGAAGGTAGAAAACAGGCTAGATAAACTGTACCTTTTAATTCCATTAGTGTCTAGATTCCTTGAAGTAGCCTTTTGCATGACACTTCTATAATACTGAGTAAATGGAGCATTGAGACTGCCCTTTTCAAGCTGTGCATCAACCATTTATTGAACTCAGCAAAAGTTACATTCATCAAATCCTAGGAAAGAATTGTTGGCAGTTGACAGAAATAATGCAAACCTGAAGAAATGATTCAACGGATTGATGATCTTTTGGTGAGAAAGCTAAGTCATCTCGTTTCTTCTGCACAAACTCAACATTCTTTTCGACCTGCGGCACCACAAAATTGTTTCAAAAAATAATAACAAAAATAGAATAATATTAAAAGCCATTAGACCATTGAGATTCCCAGGCCAAGTAGGGATAGATTTTTAGAATCGGTTTTTACAGGCCTCAACCTATTACAAACTTAAAGTTGCACAAGATTAGAATTACAACACAGTACATACCTGATCAATCAAACGCTTCACCACACGCCTCAAACTTTCAGTGGTTGCTATTTCATGAAACCTTCTAAGGTGGATGAGTGGAATAGTTGATAGCTCGGGGAAGGAGATGTGGTAGCTCCACCGAGCAAAGTGCACAGAGAGTTGTTCAACAGCAGAGAAAACACATTCCTCTTGAAAGTTCCGAGATTTTAACCAATGTTTTGGCAACTGCACCACACGTGGATCTCAAATTATTTAAGGTTACTAATAAAGATGATTGTGAGTTTGTGGAAATAATTCTTAAAGAACAATATGTCCTGACCTTCAATACTGATGAAAAGCTGATGGCCTTTCCTGGTTTTCCACCTTCCTTGCCCATTTTGTACTCTAAAACATCTAAGACTAATGCTGCAACGGGGATGAAGATCCCACTCGAACTGGAGAGATGATTTAGCCACTGAACACACTTTAATCTTAAAGGGAAATATCTTGGTCCAGGAAACAGGCAAGCCACTCCATTTATGAGCTGGATGATCACATAAAACACATGATGAAGATCATAATCGCATATATTAGCTGATATAAACATAACCCAGAGATCAATGCAGTTTGTGTACTGCCAACTGCATATCTTCTTGAGTGATTCCTGCAGAAAAAGCAAGTCCAAGTTATATAATGTCATGATTGGACAAACATGCATTACTATGAGTATCCAATCCAAAAAAGCAAATGGTAATGTCGGATCCAATGAAACAAACAGCAAGAGAAAGAATGTTGACTACATACCTTCTTTTTTCGTAGACCCTGCTTCAATATATTGGCAAGTTGTTGAATAGATAGAAGAGCCTTCGCACATGATTTATGAACGTCTAAAGAGCATAGCTCAATAAACGAGTTCCTTAAGAACTGCATATGCTTAGTATTGACAAAGTCCACAACTTTACTGCGACTAATATAGGATTTATACGTCTTTATTAAGCAGATGTCAAAGCATTCAGAGCTAAACACAACAGCCACATCCCGTATTATAAGAAAGGAATATGATGATAGAACCCCTTCACCAGTCACCCATAAATGAACTGTAGCCTGCACCAAAAAATGCCATTAGAAAGTGCCAAGATTTATGGTTGAGATTCTTGAAAGGATAAAGCTTCTTTTTTACCATAATACATTGTTTTTTTCTGGTTTACTGGGTCAGACTTGATAGAATAATAGTTAAAAATATACATACATGCATGCATATATATACAAGAAACCAAAATTTGTTAGGAAGATCACAATTTCCGTGAAGAACATAGATTAGATGTTCAAACTGTGTCAATTGCCACCACATAGACAATGTATGTCTAGTTAGTATCACGCTAGTAAAATTAAAGTACCTTCATCAGTCTCTTCAGCAAAGATGGAAATGCAGCAAAGAATATTATAGAAGCTCTCAGTCGGCTCAAGGAGAAAGCCAATATCTCCGAGTCAGCGACCTGATTCAAGAAAAATAATGTACTCCTCAAATAAGACTTGATGAGTGGCTTCAGACTTTTCCACTTAGAAGTATTCTTCAACTCCAAAATGCTCTCTTTCTTGCAACTGGAAGAAGGTATTTTCAACAGACCCCGAAATATATTATCAGCCTCACGAAGCATGAACATTAATATGCTGCAGAAAGTTCCGCTGTTCTGAATTCTTTGGCACGAGGCATTATCAGGAACACCGATGGAGTCAGTACCATACCGGCACGCAGCACGATACCCATTTAAAAGAGTCTTAAGGGCAGACTTATTATGCTCATCCTTAATTAGTTGACACAGAGAATTTATAACAGAATGTGTCAACACTTTGCCCTGGCTCATAATGGAGCTATCTTCATCCACTAGCCGCATGCTGTAACTACTTGTTTCATCTTCATCAGAATCCTGTCACACAGATAAGCACACTGCAAACTCATAACATGTCATGAAAAACTAGCTAACAAATAGTAATAAAGTTAGAAGATGAAATTCTTCTTTATTAAACTTATTTAACTTATAAGAAGAAGAAAAATCAAGTTAGCAATGAGATATCTTCAAAGGATACTTTTTAATTTTATTTTTTTGAGACACTGCCTTTTTATTATTCCAAACAACCCATCGAGCAAATTGAACAATACAATTGGAAAACTGAAATGAATACTTTGTGCTCAGTCATAGAAGTTCATCAACAAAATATAAAGTAATGCCACCAGGGGCCCACCACAGAAAACAAATTAGACAAATTTTGAAAAAACTGAAAAGGAAAAAAATGCCTATTTTGAATGATTCAAGCGGAATTTTGGGCCTAGAGAACAAAAATTGAAGCATGCACTCCATAATTACCTCACAATTTAAGAAGACGACTGTAGGGCACACCTGAAGACAGCCTTCTAACATAACCATGGTTGTACAATTCTGAGCCATGTCCCATGGCTGTCTAGATAGTAGGTTGCGCATGGGCCACAACAGGCGAGGTTCGGCCTGGGCCATAGTAAACTGTCCCAAGCCCGGGCAGCCTGACAACAGGCCCAGTGTTTTAAAAGGCGCGCCCAAACGCCGAGGCGCACCTAGGCGCCTCAGACAACTTGACGCAAGACGTAGTAGGATAGGCGCATTTGAGGCGCTTAAGGCGCGCGCCTCATGCCTTCATTTAAATTTTTGCTCCATCCTTATTCTTTGTGTGTGTAACCATACGGAATTACAACCCCTTTAATATAAAATGTACACATACTTTGAGCCCCAATTTTCATATCAAAAAAAGCTCTAGGAATTAAGCAAAAGGTCTGAGATAGCAAGATGGATATATGGCTTTGGGATTCCTTTTAATGTAGTAAATTATAATAGTTTCAGGCCAGTGATTGAAGCTATCAAGCAATTTGGTCCCAATTTAAAATTAAAACCACTAAGGTATGGTATGAGTTCCTTATCTAAAAAAAGAAATGAATCACGTTAATAAATTGATAAAGAAAGATATATAGTATTGGATAAAGTAAGAATGAATGTTATTTTTGAGAAAATTTTGATGCGTTGAATGTCATTTTTCATGATTTTAGGAATATTGAATGTCGTTCAAATTATTATTATTTTTTTTTTTTAAATTCTAAGAATATTTGTTTTATGTTAAAAATTTCGCCTACATTAATATTTGATTCCAAGGCGCCTCACGTTTAAGCTCCAAGAAACCTTAGCGCTTCAAAGCACCTAGAGCTTTTTAAAACACTGAACAGGCCTAAATCATCAATCCCAGACAAAGCCCTCGAATCAGATCCAAAAAAAAAAAAAAGAAGAAAAGACCCAGCCTCAGAAATGCTTCAAGGCTTAGGCCCTGTCCCATTTATCCTATATGGTTATTTTTGTTATAATAATTTTACACTAAAGTATAATCACAACCCACTTGGTAGCTCAATTTGCTTTAATATACTCTTTCAACTAATAAGTTTGGGGATCAAACCTCATAACTCTTATTGGCAGAGACTAGCGTATATGATATCTATCTTCCATCAAAATACATATATATATATATATATCAATAATATCACAACCATATGCATATTTATGTACATGAGTGTGTAATATTCTCGATACTTAATAAAAAAAGTTTGTAACATTCTCGGCCCAAACTGTAGAGGCCTCAAACACTATTCCCAAGACCAACCTACAAAAAAATGGGCTTAAAATATTGTCCAGCTCACCCCTACAAGCCAATTAAATAATTCAAGGGATGGCATGGGCAAGCTTCACAGGCCGTCAGTGCCAATGTCAACCCCTACTAGATAGTACACAAAGGATGATGAGCACGTTCACCACTTATAAAAGTTAGAAGAGCAATTTACAAATTAAAAACATCAGCACTCTTTTCATCTAGAACTTCATCTACCACTAATTATGCATCAGATTCAAAAACTATTAGTCTTGTTTAGGGCTGCAAATGAGCCGAGCCAAACCGAGCCGAGCTAAGCTAAGCCAAGCCAAGCCAAGGCGAGCCGAGCCGAACTTTAGTATGTTTGGCTTGTTTATTAAGATTTTAGCAAGAACAAGCTCGAGCTCGAACTCAATAAAAATTTAACGAACCGAACTCGAGATAAGTTGGTTTAAGTTTGACTCGAGCTCGAGCTCGAGCTCAAGCCTGTTCACAAGTATTAACAGGCCAAAAAATTTATAAATTTATACTTGCATATGAGACTAAAGTCACAATTAAAACTCTGATTATACAATTATATATACGATATATATAAACATACAAAAAGTTAATATTTTACCAAAATAATAATATCTATCACAACTATTTTATATATATGTACTATCTATAGTTAACTATTATTTGTGTTTATATTTTTTAAATAGATAAATAACATATTTATCTTATTTTTTATACATATTTTTACATTATTTAATATATTAATAATAAATGTTAAACGAGTCAGCTAACGAGCCAAGTTTACGAGCTGAGCATTAGTATGTTTAGACTTGTTTATTAAAAATTTAACGAGCTCGAATGCAAAAGAAAAAAAAATTAACAAACTGAATTCAAACGAGCTTTTTCCGAACCGAGCTCGAACCCATTCACGAACGGCTCTATTCATTTGCAGCCCTAGTCTTGTTAAAGGTCAGCAGATATTACTACAGTATTTATGAAAACTTCCTTTAACATTATTAGTTAATAAAATAATAGAAAAATGGAATTTTCAGTATCTAACTGTCACACAAAATTGTTGTCACCAAAATAACCAAAATGATGATCTCTGATGATCTAATGCCAAAATGACAAAGAAAAAAGGAAAGACAAGAAACTTATAATCTTAAAAACATTTGGGGTTGGAATGATTTGTCACAAGATCTCAAACAATAATTTCTATTCTCAAGATTGTGAGCAACAAAGTGTGACAAGCCATAATATAAAAAGTTATAAAAGGGTAGCAAATAATTATGAATAGATGCATATGCTACTTAACTGATACTGTTGCAAAACCATTTAATATTAACATCTGGCAATCAACTAAAATTTTCCTGCTGCTGCCTCAGATTTATAAGTCCATAATAGAAAAGTAGATTCACTAAGTAGCTTACCATCTCTTCGCCTCGGAACATCTCAGGGCCTTTCTTGTAGCTTGCTAAAAACTTAGCGAACTCTGGGTCCTGAAAATTTCCAATTTCAATTGCTTTAATAAATGTATAAAGAGGGTATTAAAGAAATTGAAAACTAGGGTATAATGGAAAGAAGAGAGAATGGACACCGAACTGCAGAGAAAGGGGAGAAGCATTAAAACAGTTCTTGAGATAGCATTTTTTCACGAACTCGTATTCCCACATCAAAACTCAAGTAAATTGGTCCCAAACATGCAATTAAGACCTGAGGCAAATATTTAAATGTCTCTGCATTTCCTATTTAAAGCCTGATGCAGAATGTGAAGCCATGCACAACAGACATAAGGTAGCAAGAGTGACCCTATAAGCCATGCATATCTAACCTTTTTCTTTTCCCTTTTTGGATAGAAACATAGTCCACTAGAAAGATACCAAAGGGGGTGCAATGCATGCACAAGTCATTCATATCTAACTTGCCATTGCCTGATATATGACAAAATAAAGGGTGATACTAAAGTGACTGGGTGGAAAGAGGGCCGAAGACAATTTGGTCAACCAGAGTCTATGAAAAGCTATGGGTCCAATGATCCTTAACAACACAAACAAAGTCTTCCTATTGCCAGATAATTATCATATATATGCATATAATCGAACACAGATCCCGTTAATTATGAGGTACTTCACTGTAACATTGCCCAAGAAGGATACCTGAGTCTTCTATATTTTGTTTGATAATCAGCATGTGGCATGGACACTGTCCAGAGCCATAACACACCAGAGCTCATGCCCTTTCTAATATTTTTTCTGGATGAAACTCATCCATAGTTTTTGGTAAGGACTAAAAAGCATCACACTTCACACTGTTCTAGGGAAGTAGATAGAAGTACAAAACATCCAACATAAATATCATTCCTTCAACTGTACCAAAAGTGACGAACAGAAAATTACCTTCTTCTTCAGCCTATCCAATTTTTTCTTTTGCACAGCAAGCTCCTTCTGAACCTTACTGTTGTGCACTGACAAGCCCAAAACACTACTGGTGTCTGCATATGTATTGATCAATTTAAATAGAAAGGGGACAGCAGTTCCACAGGAGAAGAGAGGAAGAGAAAGGCTTAATTATAAAGAGTTCAAAAGATTGACAACGATATTACCTTCTATATTAATCTCATTTTGACTTTCTGCAACATGTGGACAGCTTGAGTCCTGATTGCTAAAACATATAATCAATGCAGAAAATCCCAATAGACAAAACAAAATGAAATATCAAAAAAGAGATGTTTCAAGCATAATATAGTTCAAAACCTCTGAAAGAAATCCATCACTGTCTGAAGCATCTTCCGCCACATCACTGTCATCTTCTGTGAATATCTCATCAAGAGAAATATTTTTTAGATCTTCCCCTTCAGGGTCCCTGGGAACAATAATGAATTTCTGTTAAAACCTATCACCTACTTCACCCACTTAAACCTACTCCACTAAACCTAACCCACTACACCACTACCACCTCACCTACTCCACTAAACCTAACCCACTACACCACTACCACCTCCACTTCACCTACTCCTTACCTACTACACACTCACCCTCTTCTATATATAGGAATCATGAATCATTGTAATAAATAGAAAACAAAACATCAATCAATAATACATTTCTCTATTTCTCTTTATACATTGAATTTTTTACATGGTATCAGAACAGGTTTAGAACCTAGTATTTTCGCTTCCCCGGCGGGCGGCAACCTCACCTTAGCCGCCCGCCGGACCTCAATCTAATCCGCTAGAATTTTCTACACATACCTTGAAATTTCTTCGAGTCCACCACCACTGTTGACCTTAACCCGTCGCTGCAGTTTAGGTTGAAGTGCCTTGAGTGGTCCTTTGGGCTTCTCTCCACCTTGCTTCCCCAGAGCCCAATCAGCAGAGTCAAAGTAAGCACGTTCATGGTCCTTAGAAATAAGTGGTGGTTTCTTGGGCATTATTCCTCCATACTTGCTCTTAACAAGCTTCCTCCTCTTGTTGGGGTGATGGCATGGCCTTTTCAGAGTCCTCTGGGACATCTTCATCCACTAAACTGTCTGCTACAACGGTCCGACATGACCCCATAAACTGTCTTCTACATCAGTCTGACACCGCCATCCAGTGTCCTCTACAACGTTATGACACCTCCATACAGTGTCTTCACCAACGGTCTGACACCACCATACAGTGTCCTCTACAGCGTTATGACACCCCCATACAGTGTCCTCTACACCGTTATGACACCACCATACAGTGTCTTCACCAACGGTCTGACACGACCATACAGTGTCTCCTATCCTCTTTTATTTTATGTATTAATCTATTTTCTTGTTTTGTTACTCTCTCCAAACTCAAGTTGGCTAGTTCCTATCCCCCTTGAGTTTGCGGGGGGCTGTTAAAACCTATCACCTACTTCACCCACTTAAACCTACTCCACTAAACCTAACCCACTACACCACTACCACCTCCACTTCACCTACTCCTTACCTACTACACACTCACCCTCTTCTATATATAGGAATCATGAATCATTGTAATAAATAGAAAACAATACATCAATCAATAATACATTTCTCTATTTCTCTTTATACATTGAATTTTTTACAATTTCTGAATAAATGAATAAAGACAAATACATGCATAATCCTTCAAACGGGGACCCCTCCCAGACCCCCATTAAATGGGGACTAAACTGGGTGTAGTTTTAATCCTTAATTACCATCCCTTAATGGTTCAAATGTCATGTCATATGCACAGTTCTGAAAACATAAGTGAGCAAGAACAATGATGATGAAGATGATGATGCTAACAGTAATTTGTTTTAACTTATAAAATTTTAATGTGTAAATGCTTCACAGAACCATTTAAAAAGTTCCTTAAAAACAATGTGAGAGAGAGAGGGAGAGAGAGAGAGAATGTCTGCACAAGATGGCTGACAGCTTTACAAACTGTGGAAACTTAAATTCATATACAAAAGCCTCCAAGAAAAAAAGAAGTCTGTTTCTACGGAAGACAAAAAAAAAATAGGGAAAACAAGAACCAATAGGACCCACTAGAGTTTCATTGGAGACTTCACAATGTTATAGATGAGATGTGATGATGTTCATTACTTACAATTGCTCCTAAGGGCAGATGTAATGATGTTCATCAATTACAATTACTCCTAACGGCACACAATGCCCACAAAAGCTAGAAACAGGTGAATGATACATCACAAACAAGCTACAAAGTCAAGACCCTATAATTTACACTATTCAATAATTAGTGCCAAACAATTCATAATAAAATGGCCAGTCTAGAAACAAAGAGGGAAAGAACAACACACCAACAAACAATCAAAATTCGCAAGTCTACTGCCTATTAGGAGTCATCTACATCAACAAAAAGCCACAATTTAAGAAAAATAATCAAGTTTAGATGGCTTGAGTGATAGTGTTTCGAACCACTAAATGACTAAATGAACTACTCTAACTTCTATGCCAAGCCAAAAATAGAGCCTTTCACATATCTGGAATCCACATTGATTTACAGAACTCTGTCAAAATTTGTGAACCACATTGGAATCCACATTGATTTACAAAACTGTCAAAATTTGTGCACCACATATAGTTTTGGATCATTTTTTTTTTTTTTTACTCTACACGTAAATGTGAACCTTATTAGAACATTGAAATGTACTATATTTGAATGCCCTACATAACCCTTTATTAATGGAGGACAGGTAATACATCTATTTCTTCCCTCTAATGAGCCTGCTAAATTACAAGGTTTGATATGTTGGTTCATAGATCAATCTCATCGTGTAAGGTAATAACTAGTTTAGTTGATCATCATTATTAGTTAACAACTTAACAGGTAAAAAGGTGCAAACATGTTGCTTAACACCTTGTCAACATTTCATGAATTTGAAAATATTCAATAAATTGACATCTTACAACATTGAGTAGTTTATGGCAAATAGACTAGTTCTACTCTATTATAGTCAAAATTTGCACATACCTACATGTATATACAGCATATATACATATATATATATATATAGAGAGAGAGAGAGAGAACAAACATATCTTTAATTGAGAATTGAGACCCAAAATAATAGGGCGTTCAAACCCTAAAGCAGGTCATGGATCATATGCACAGCAACACATGCCAGCAATTGGATTTGGATATCAACTCAAGGGAGTCCCTACTAAAAGCAAACCAACCCAGAATAACATATTAAAGGGATCCAAATCCTAAATTCTGACATAGAACCAAGAAGTTCTTAAGCACTACCAAGGAATGATATAAATTTGCAATAGCATGACTTCAAAAGCCAAATGAACTACCAAGATTAACTAATGGCAAAGAACCACACCATAATTTGTATCCCCTCCTACATGTGAGCAACAATCATGCCCTGGATCAACTTCAAAACTAAAGTTCTATTGTGTTTGGCCAAGCCAATTTTTTTGTTGATAAAAATAAATAAATAAAATCTTTCTTTTATTATTCAAGAAAACAAAATCTCAACAACAACTATGAGTGGAAAGAATTAGAAAAATATTGTTGTTGATAACCTTTTATAGCAAATAAAGTGAACTCCAGTGAGACTTTAAAGGAAGAAGTGATCACCTTAATAGAAAAAGGACACATTAAAAACACCAAAAATGAAAGAAAATGCTTCAAGTGGTTTTAGCATGAAATGACGTCATGATGCATTAATTTCACCTTCTTACCTTCCATTTGGGATAGTTGTATTCCCGACTTGATCTTCAACAGTATCTTGTTGACCTTCTGCGTCATATAAATAAAATGCTACATCACAAAGGAGGAATTGAAGTAAAAAATGAACGGGTATTTTAGAAAATTTCGCATTAAAATGTTAACAGCATTAGATTTCCAACTTTGGTCCAAACTTCAATGATTAAATGCACATTTTCTTACTCCAAATTTTTACGTTTTTGGGCCTAAACAGGGGGTGAAGTATAGTTAATCCTACTCTATAAACTGTCAAAAGCAAAATTTCCAATTTTCAGTTCTTCTGTCTCCGGCAAAAAGGGGGGAAAAAAACCGAATCCCTAATTTAACTCTGAGGTACTTAAAAAACCCATATTCCAAGGGCTAGTATATGTAACTAATTACAAATTATTTAATTTGACAGTTCTTCTGGGTTCAGCATTCTAGTAGCTTCATTATCAATATTTCAAACAAAAATAAATCATAGGTTAGGTCATCTCCAAACCTTTAATCAAACCTATATAAATTTCAAATTTCAAATTTTCATTAAAATCACTCAAAACATCCTCCAATCCTTGATCCAAACTCATACCAAATTGAGTTTTACCCAAATCAAGGGAAGGGACACCCAAATGTTTACTCAAAATTTCCAAGGCTATTTTGTGGCTCTCAATTTAACAATTAGTGAAACTTTTAATCAAATTTACACTTAAATGTGAGTCTGTCCATTAGAGACCTATGTCAAATTCAAATTTTCATAAAACTCATTCAAAACACTGTCCACTCCTTGACCCAAACTCATACCAATTTGAGTTTTACTCAATTTATTATCCAAATCAAGGGAGACTCAAATGTTTCCTCAAAATTTTCCAGGCTATTGTGTGGCTCTCAATCTACCACTCTGTCATTAGTGAAACTTTTACTCAAATTTACACTTAAATATGAGTCCGTCCATTAGTGTGGTAAACCTATGTCAAATTCAAATTTTCATAAAACTCACTCAAAACACCCTCCACTCATTGACCCAAACTCATACCAATTTGAGTTTTACTCAAATTTTTACCCAAATCAAGGGAGACCCAAATGTTTACTCAAAATTTCAAAGGCTGTTTTGCAGCTCTCAATCTACCACTCTATCATTAGTGAAACTTTTACTCAACTCTACACGTAAATGTGATCCGTTAGAGTGGTTCATATCCAAATAAAGCTTTTACTCAAACATTTTACTACATATCCGTTGACATTGACATACACTCATGTATGTATGTATACATACTTATATAAACAAATATATGTAGAAAAGTGACTTACTTGAAGAAGATTTCCTTTTGAAGAAAACCTTTGTCTTTCGTCTGTTTTTAAGCACAGATTGAAGATGCTTCTTTGCAAACTTCCTTGCCTTCTTCCCTAGCTTCCCCATTTCTTAGTAAGAGACTACAATTCTGAACAAATTGATTAACATTCACAAAAGCACAAATCAGCATATAGCATATAGCATATAGCAAATAGCAAATACAAAAACCATAAATTTATCTACACAATACATGTGTATAGATATACGTATACCGACCAAGATTTAGAGCAACCGGAGGGTTTAGGGTTTCACCACAATTTCTTCTTCATATGTATTTCTGGCGATGGGTTTAGGGTTTAGTCCGAGTCCGAGTGGGCGCGGTTTTGCTGTGCAGTCGCTTCTGTCGTTGACGTGCTCCAATGTAATCCCGCCGCGTGTCACCAAGGAATCGTTAAATGACGCTTCTCCCTCTCTTACAATTATTATTATTTTTTAGTAATAATAATGTTAAGGAGATTCTGGCCCGGTAGAATTCTAGGAAAGTTATTATAGATTATAGTATATAATTGTGAGCATAAATTGGTAATCTGTTTAGTATAGTGGTAGAATTATAGATTTAAGCAGCAGAGTAATGTTTGGTAAATAAATTGTAAAATAACTTTTTACTGTGTAATTGTCATTTTTGCCCTTATAAATAAAAAAATTGTAATTTTATCATTTTCTCCTCTTTAAATTTTGAAAAAATTATTTCATTAATGAAAGTTGATTAATTATTACCTAATTTGGTACATTTTTACATTACCTCAAATTTTTATTTATTTTTTATTTTTTTAAGGCAATAAAAATAAAAATTCCTAGATATTTAAAGATCTCATCATTTCGTCTGGAAATTGACATACAAATATATGTCTCCTCGCTTCCATCTTATTCGATGCTTTCTTTTTTGGGTCATGTATTGAAGAGAGTTTGTTGCAGTAAAAAATATTTTATCAATTATTAAAGTCACAGTTAATTGATTTATTATAGAAATGAATCAGCTATTATAGAAATGAACCAGCTATTCGATTAAATAAGATATAACAAGTATTAAACAATTCAAATTATCCAATTGAATCTAAAATGAAACCCATCACCAATTAATTAAATCATCGGTCCAATTATTAGACACAAAGAAGTTAGTCCGTCTATTGTCTTAGCATGAACTCTATCAAATTATAAACAGTCCTATACAAATACTCCATTTTCTATTAAACTGTCATCGCTCTCATTGTGAAGATAATATAGAAAATAAATCATCACTCAACTCAACTTAATTAAATATAAGGTAAATTATACTTTCAATCCATGCATTCTACCTCTAATCAATCTCACGTTGATTCGGTGATTCAATTTCAACGATCAAAACATTGCAAGTTGAAGCATGTTGTTAACCTTCTGTTTGGATCATTTTTCTTCATGATGTATTGGACGCATAACAAACAACTCACCAAATGTTTACAGACAAGTATAGAACACTTGGCTAATTCACCAAGTAGCTCTCTTTGATGATACAGTTTGTCCCAGTGAATGGGTCGAACTGGTCCAAGCTCCTCAAGCCCAGGTCCAAATGATCAAGCCCACCGGATAACCTGCAAACAAGTTCAACGGGGAACGAGATAGTCCCCCAGTGAACCCTTCGACGAGCAAGTTAGGAAGAGAAGTAGAGTGTAGAGGGAGAGATTAGAGATAGAAAAGCTTAACCTTCTTCTTGTCTTCAACGTTTGCTTATATCCTTTGGTAATCATTTCGCTGTCCCTTCCGACCTGACCTCCTCTCCGAAAGTCTATGTTGTAGCTTACCTTGTTCAGGGTAATGGGGTCCTATTCCGATGGAGAGGTGTTGTCGTAATAAATGCTGTGATGGGCTGCATTAATGGTGATGTGCAGTGGCAATAACTTTGTAGATCTTTGTCTGCTGATGTGGCTCGTCTTTCACTTGCCATGTGTCTGAATGTCAGTGGCTCTTTATGCCATGTTGGATTCCAACTGTCCTGAACCTCACCAACTGGGTTATGTATTAGGCTCCAAGTGATGGGCTTAGGTTGTTCATAGTGATTCATGGCCTTTATGGGCTTATACACGTCAATAGTCCCCCATTCCCAAGTGCAGCTTTAGCCCAACGAAGGAAATACAAATGAAGAAGATGAGGGTGTTAGGGGTGACTGAGAGGGTGAGCCGACCGGGAGGTGGTCCGACCGTGCAGGGTGACCGAGTGGAAGGGCCGACCACGAGGAGGGCCGATCGCAAAGGTTGGCCAAGTGAGAGGGTCGACCACGAGGAGGGTCGACCGCGAAGGGAGGCCGACCGCGGAGGTTGGCCGAGTGGGAGGGTCGACCACGAGAAGAGCCGACCACGAAGGGTGATCGAGTGGGAGGGTCGACCACGAGGAGGGTCAACCGCGAAGGGTGAGGTGGAGGGGCATGAGGTGGAGGTGCGTGAGGCTCGAGAGGCGTCATGTCACGTGGTGATTTGAAGTGGAAAAGACAGGATAAGGAGAGGAGACAGTGGATCGTGGTCGCATACGTGGCAACATCCCGCGGGGGGGGAGATTAGGCGTTAGATCAGAAGTGAAACGATAGGTCATTATGGGTGTTGAAAAGACAGTTTTGGCGGATGATTTGAAAAGTTTTCAAGCTGGCAAGAATTAATTGGGATCCTTGGAATACGGGCAAACCGTGGGCTTTTGGCATTATTCGATTCACCTACTTGTTTACGAAAAATCAAAATATTCCAAGTGTGAATTCCTTTGTTGCTCGCGATACACCTCTGCAACACTTTTTCAATTTCCTTGCACCTGCATCCGAAGCGATTCGCAGACATACCATAGAAATGGCCCAAAAAGAAACTGCGAATGTTAGGGTGGATCCACTTGGTGATGATGATGCAGTGGAGTTGGCGCAACAATATAGGATGGAGAGGGGAGGGGAGTCGGTGGTACGATCCCATGGTTCCACCATGATAGCAGCGCCGAAGCCAATCAGCCAGGCAGAGCCAGATCACTGTGAGAAGCCATGGATCTAGTCGTGACCATACACTTGGATGGGTAAGAGGAAAAGGTTGTTAGGACAAGGTCTCCGGGGACAATGAGCACAACTGGCGTCCGGATAAGAACCACTTCCCACAGACGGCGCCAACTGATGATGCAATTTGTCCCAGTGAATGGATCGGACTGGTCCAAGCTCCTCAAGCCCAGGTCCAAATGATCAAGCCCACCGGATAACTTGCAAACAAGTTCAACGGGGAACGGGGTAGTCCTCCAGTGAACCCTTCGATGAGTAAGTTAGGAAGAGAAGTAGAGTGTAGAGGGAGAGATTAGAGATAGAAAAGCTTAACCTTCTTCTTGTCTTCAACGTTTGCTTCTATCCTTTGGTAATCATTTCGCTGTCCCTTCCGACCTGACCTCCTTTCCGAAAGTCTATGCTGTAGCTTACCTTGTTCAGGGTAATGGGGTCCTATTCCGATGGAGAGATGTTGTCGTAATAAATGCTGTGATGGGCTGCATTAATGGTGATGTGCAGTGGCAATAACTTTGCAGATCTTTGTCTGCTGATGTGGCTCGTCTTTCACTTGCCATGTGTCTGAATGTCAGTGGCTCTTTATGCCATGTTGGATTCCAGCTGTTCTGAACCTCACCAGCTGGGTTATGTATTAGGCTCCAAGTGATGGGCTTAGGTTGTTCATAGTGATTCATGGCCTTTATGGGTTTATACACGTCAATAGTCCCCCATTCCCAAGTGCAGCTTTAGCCCAACGAAGGAAATACAAATGAAGAAGATGAGGGTGTTAGGGGTGACTGAGAGGGTGAGCCGACCGGGAGGTGGTCCGACCGTGCAGGGTGACCGAGTGGAAGGGCCGACCACGAGGAGGGCCGATCGCAAAGGTTGGCCAAGTGAGAGGGTCGACCACGAGGAGGGTCGACCGCGAAGGGAGGCCGACCGCGGAGGTTGGTCGAGTGGGAGGGTCGACCACGAGAAGAGCCGACCACGAAGGGTGATCGAGTGGGAGGGTCGACCACGATGAGGGTCAACCGCGAAGGGTGAGGTGGAGGTGCGTGAGGCTCGAGAGGCGTCATGTCACGTGGTGATTTGAAGTGGAAAAGACAGGATAAGGAGAGGAGACAGTGGATCGTGGTCGTACACGTGGCAGCATCCCGCGGGGGGGGAGATTAGGCGTTAGATCAGAAGTGAAACGACAGGTCATTATGGGTGTTGAAAAGACAGTTTTGGCGGATGATTTGAAAAGTTTTCAAGCTGGCAAGAATTAATTAGGATCCTTGGAATACGGGCAAACCGTGGGCTTTTGGCATTATTCGATTCACCTACTTGTTTACGAAAAATCAAAATATTCCAAGTGTGAATTCCTTTGTTACTCGCGATACACCTCTGCAACACTTTTTCAACTTCCTTGCACCTGCATCTGAAGCGATTCGTAGGCATACCATAGAAATGGCCCAAGAAGAAACTGCGAATGTCAGGGTGGATCCACTTGGTGATGATAATGCAGTGAAGTTAGCACAGCAATATAGGATGGAGATGGTGGGAGAGTCGGTGGTACGATCCCATGGTTCCACTATGATAGTAACTCCAAAGCCAATCAGCTAGGCAGAACTAGATCACTGGCATACAAAGGCAGATAGATCAACGGTTACTGCAGCGGATTTGGAGGTCATTCGCAAAAAATACCAGGTGCCTGCTGAAATAGAGTTATTGTTGCCGATGTCGACAGAGAGGCCATCCGGCGCCAGGCCAGGGGAGTTTGCCCTTTATGAGGAAGCATTGAAGGGAGGATTGAGGCTGCCCCTGCTGCAAGTGGTGGTAGATGTCCTGAATCGTTTGGAGGTAGCGCCGGGCCAACTAATGCCCAATGCATGGAAGATCTTACTGGCCTGTGCAAGTGCGTGGCCGAAGGCGAACGAAGGGACGTCCATGACAGTAGATGAATTCTTCGCATGTTACAAGGCCTCAGGGCAGCAAGAGACTTGGGTCAATCTGCAGGCAGCGGCAGGGAAAGGGCTGGTGGCGGGGTTGCCGTCGTCGATCAAGGGGTGGAGACCACGGTGGTTCTATGTATCTGCCAGTGGAGGGGTTGGAGTGCGCACCATTTGGAAAGTGCCCACCAAGTTTGTGGAGCCAAAGCTGGGAGCAGCATCAGAGGAGAGGGTGGAAAGGGTAAAGGAATGGAGGGAGAAGGAAGGGGCCAAGTGGGACAAGCTCGTTCAGCCGTCGGCTTTGTTTGAGGCAGGGTTGGGTCCACAGCCGAGTGGTGGGGACCTCGACCGAACGGAGTTGGAGGTAAGGAGGAAGGCTCAAGAGGCAGAGGATCAGACCATCCTTGCAAAAGCCCAAAAATTCAAAGAGTCTCAGGCAAACCGACAGCCAAAGCGGGTTGCAAGGGAGAGGAT